AGTCTGTGTGTCCAGACTTGCAACTTTTAGGGGTAGGACACTTCATATGTTTTTGCATCTCATATAGGATCTGCATTAAGCATACTGCATCTGATTGAGACAAATGTGAATTTGATGCTTCATGTACTTCTAATCTTTGTGGGGGTAGAACTTCACCAATTCCCAAAATGATTACTTAAAAGGCTCCAACTTATTTATTTCTCTGAATAGTCTTGTCATGGTTGGATGTTTTTATAGGGAAAAGCTGCCTCTTTTAATGAGTGAAAGCTACTCTTGAACTACTGTTACTAATATATATATCTACAACCATTTGGTCAGTGAATAGTTCGAAGCCTTTTTGAGTCGAGCCAGTAAATCACGTGGCCGAAAGCTCGCTACAAGGCTCAATTAGAAAGCCCAGGGGACTACACATTGCACGGCCAATATAAATTATATATATGGTCAGTGAATAGTTCGAAGCCTAGTTGAGTCGAGCCAGTACACCACTTGACCGAACACTTACTACAAAGCTCAATTAGAAAGCCCAGGGGACTACACATTGCACGACCACCATAATCTCATTCCTTTTAATTGCTCTGTTTTTCATGGGAAAAAGCTACCATTAGACGTGTGTGTACGCTACCTAATAAGAGCATCTTTTTGTTTGACTTGAGATTATTAAGTTTATTGGTTGCATTGGCAGTCGGATTTTTGGGGATTGCGCTTATCGTGAATGTGAAGATAAATCCCATATGTTTTGTTTGTCCATGCAGTATCTTATTCACATATGTCTCTTCACTCATGTTTATTTCTCATGTTTACTTCTTGTCTTGCATTAAAAAAAAAAAAAAAAAAAAAAAAAGGGAGAGAGATGGGATTTTGGTTTATGTGCCGGTTAAACTTGATCTTTTGTTGCAACCGGATCTATTGGGCCTACTACTCACATTTCCACGTTTCGTATGAAGTTTGGCAAAGTCTGTAGTCTTTGTTATTTAATGTGGGATTTGATATCATTATCCTTTGATTTTCGCATTGCAATTATCGTGTGGTATTGAGTTGTGAGTTTGTGACTTTGTGTGCATGTTATGTAAGGTGATTCTTCTCACTTACTTCCAAGATTCTCTCTTCGTTTTGATCTTTTTGTTAAGTGTTTGAACAGCTTGCTTGAATCATCAAGATCATTAGTCCATGTTGAGTTATCTATGCATGGTGATTGCCCAGAAAGGGGGAGAAAAGAACAGGAGAAAAGAACAGCAACGATGGCATGAACACAGGGGGAGTTCCGACAACTGTTGCTACAGTGCATCAGACAGTTGCTGGGCAGAAATATAGGACAAATAATAAGCATTGTGCAGAGAAGTTGTTTCTGCTACTGCATATCCTTTTATCTCGTGCTTATCTGAACGAATTATCTGCCTTTATTTTGGAACTATGGTTTATTTATGGTTTACACTATCTGCTGAACTGTTTGATAAACTGTTGCAACAGTTTATATGTGCAGATGTTATTCTGAATTTGCTAACCCTTGTTCATGCAGGTATCATATATTTAGGGGGAGTAAATATTCTGACCAATCAATGCCAAAGGGGGAGAGTGTTAGAATCTCGGTGGGATTCTAAGTCCACAACACCAAGTGGAATTCTATGGAGATGTTTATTGTCATTAATTGGTTTAGGTCTTCACAAGAATATAAAAGGAGGAGTTATAATGCCGACGTTATTTGCTGAGTCTTTTATTACGTGGGTGATTTACCACGTCGCCCTCCAAGTCTACAAAGCCAAGAAAGCAAAGGGGAAGAATGAAGTCATTTACAAGGGGAGCTGCCTAAGGATCATTCACAGTGGAAGATACACATGCAGGGGGAGCTGACTCCGTTATGAACCATCTGCCGAAGCCACTACTGTGGGAACAGTTGCTGAAACTGTGGCACTTGCTATTGCAGCAGTTCATGCCACTCTTGTTGCTGAAAGAGATTATGATGATGAGCTGTTCCTTTGATGCTGAGGATGATCTTTAGTTTTATTGTTTCCTTATATCCTCTATTGTTTCATTTTCAGGCAATTTACTCAAGGGGAGAAAATGTTAGAATCAATCAATGACAAAGGGGGAGATTGTTAGAATCTAATTGGATTCTAATAAACAAGGGATGAGTAAAGACTAGTGCAACAAGTCCTATGTACCGTGACACAAAAGGGAAGTCTCCTTGTTTACTTAAATTCTTTAATTTGTCATTAATTGTTTCTTTTATATAGAAAACTATTTTATTAATCAAAAAGAGTTTTTGTACACCAAGACTATCCAATAGTCCTTGTGCGTATAATTTTTCAAGAAGGAAAAGATTTCCTTGATTATCCTTTATATTTTATTGTCATTAATTGGTTGTTTGTTTACATGGGAATTCCCATTAAATTAGGATGACAATATTTTAATAAGGCATGGACTTTTATTCCATATCTTTTAATAAGATAATTCCTTCTACGTCTCTAACCTTGTAAAACCTAATACAGGAGTGTTCCTAAACTATAAAAGAATAAGCAGGAACATAATACGGTGTGTGCGTTTTTTTGGAGAGAAGCCGATCTCTCTCTTCTTGGTTGCTGTTGCACGCCTTTTGTTGGAGAAGAAAAATTATATTTTTCTGCTCTTATTTTTGCTGCACCTGGAGCGTCTTTTTCATCGAGAGAAGATTTCAGAGAAATATTTTTTCCTCCCGTTTTTTATTGCTCCATCGTGATACGTGATTTTCATCGAAAATATATCGGCTTCAAGGCTTTGTGGTGAAGGCACCAAGATTCAACGAGTATCACAAGTTTGCTTCTTCTATACAAAAAGAAGATCGGTTCTTCGGGAGAGGGGCTTAAACAGATCTCGGGAGGAGATCGATCCGCCGACTGAGGGATCAGCGTTGAAGGGAGTCAACCGTGCGGAGCAAGGGACGTGCTGCAAATTGAAGATTTATAATTCAGCGTAGTATACAAGAACGGCGTCAACAAAGAGGGAGTCTTTGTATTTTGATTAAGTCCTATTATTGTATTCGTAAAACTAAAAATTAGTAAATTTTATTTGCAGGTCCCCGTGGATGTAGGGTACAGTTGTATCCGAACCACATTAAAATTTGTGTCTCGTTTATTACTGTTTTTTACGAACTGCTTCACGAACTGTTGCAACACTTCACGCAACAGTAACGAAAAACTGGATCTGACACAAATAATTTAATATCTGCACGAAATAAATTCTAACAAGAAGGTTGTTTTTTTTTGGGCGAATGGCAAAAATGCCCATCACATGGGACTTAAATGTTTTTTGGTCAAAAAAAAAAAAAACAGTCTCTCAATTAAATTCATCCCCATGTCTTTAGTCTAAAATACCCTCCATAAGATAATTCTTATCAATTCCATCCATTATGCCCTAATTTCCTTAATATTACACATTGACCCCAGATTTAAACAAATATATCACATTAACTCCCAAAAAATTTTTTTTTCATAAAATAATTTTTTTTCTGAATTTTTTTTTCCCGGCCAGATTCCGGCGTTGACTTTTTTTTTTTTTTTCGAAAACTTTTTTTTTTTTCCTCAAAATTTTTTCCGGTCGGTCAACCACCGTTGACCGCCGGTCTCCGGCGTTCACTTTTTTTTTTTTTTTTTTTAGAAAAAATAATTTTAATTAATATTACTGTCTTGGCTACTAAATTACTATCTCAGACAGTAATATTACTGTTTGGGACAGTAATATTATGAATATTATTTTCCTGAACAGTAATATTATTAATATTATTGTCTAAGACAGTAAAATTACTGTTAGAGGACAGTAATTTAGCGGCCAAGGCAGTAATATTAATTAAAATATTTTTTTTTAAGAAAAAAAATTAAAAAATAAAAAGTCAATTAACAGTTAAATTACTGTCTCCGACAGTTAAATAACTGCTGGAGACAGTAATTTAGCAACGAATATAGTAATATTAATTAAAAATATTTTTTTTAAGAATAAAAAAATCAACTAACAGTTAAATTATTGTCTCCGACAGTTAAATAACTGCTGGAGACAGTAATTTAGCAACGAATACAGTAATATTAATTAAAAATATTTTTTTTAAGAATAAAAAAGTCAATTAACAGTTACATTACTGTCTTCGACAATTAAATAACTGCTGGAGACAGTAATTTAGCAACGGATACAGTAATATTAATTAAAATATTAAAAAAAAAAAAAGTCAATTAACAGTTAAATTACTGTTTCCAACAGTTAAATAACTGCTGGAGACAGTAATTTAGCAGCAAAGACAGTAATATTAATTAAAATATTTTTGAAGAATAAAAAAAAAGTCAATTAACAGTTAAATTACTATCTCCGACAGTTAAATAATTGTCGGATACAGTAATTTAGCAGCCAAGACAGTAATATTAATTAAAATATATTTTTTAAGAAAAAAAAATTATAAAAAAAGAATGAGTCAACGCCGGAGACTCGGCGGTCAACGACAGTTGACCGGCTGGAAAAAAAATTCAGGGAAAAAGAAGTTCTTCAAAAAAAAAAAAAAAAGTCAACAGGGACCGGCGGTCAACGATGGCGACCGACGGTCTCCGGTGGTTGCGGGTCAAAATTGAAATTATGATTAAAATTGGTTAATTGATGAAATTGAGCTAAATTGGAGTGTAAATATGATAACTTCATTCATAAAATCATAAAATTAGAGTTGAATTGAGTTTCAATGAATTGGGGGTAATTTTGGTATATATAAAAGGGTTTTCCTTATTTGCAAATACGTTTAAATGGGCTGGATTTATTTGAAAGACAAAAAAATTGGATGTCCCTCTTTCAATTAAGTGCCCTTGTCATGGGTTTTTTGTGATGAACCCTTTTTTTTTTCCCTTGTAATTACACTTCACCGCAGGTAGGCGGTTACAATTTACCCATGGAAAATATGATAACTTCATTCACACATTGTTCTTTCTTGATTTTATGGGTTGTGCCTATACAAACTGATATTAAAATTAACGTCACAATTGAAACTTGCCAAATTTAAAAAAATCTACACTAAGAATCACTATTACGAGTCTCCAAAAGGTTCGTCGAAAGTAATATATAGCATCAACAAGTACATGATTACATTAGAACGAAAGTATTTCAAAACACACACAACAAGAGTTGAAAATAATGTACAAGAAAGCAGCTTAGTTACTGGATCCTCTTTACAAAAACAGGTCAAGTTCTCTTTTTCTTTTTCTTTTTTCCTTGTGGGGCCAAGGAAAATGGAGACAACGAACACACATCAAAAAAAAAATGAAAAGCAAAAAAAAAACGAAAAAAAAGGGAAGAAGAAGAAACACGAGCAGGATCAGTACCTGTAGTCATCCTCGTAAATGTAATCCTCGTTATAGAAAGTGTAATGGCTACTCTTGGAAGTGGTTTCTCTAGACTAGACAAAAACAAAACTCACATCAGAACAACGGAAGGATTTGTAACAATTTTTCAAGACACAAAAATTACGTTTACGAATGTAATAATTTTACGGAAAATTGACAAACGTAAGGTCTTATAATGAAGAGGAATAAAAGAATAACATACCTTGTGAATCATCTTCTCAAAGGCTTCGGGACCGTTTTCTTGGATATATTTTTCAGCGGCAGTTAGAATATCATCGGGCTTGCTGAAAGCATCTTTCTTTCTCGGAACATACCAGATATTAACAGTCTTCTGACCAGTGACGATGTACGGTCTAACGTAGTGCTCGTACACGTATGCAGCTCCACTGAAGTACGGTATGACTAACCAGCAGGTGAATATTAGCTTTAAGTATGACCAGAATGGTAACCTAGCATACATACAAAATCGAGGTTATTATTACTAACTCTGTAATTGTCAAATTACAGGGCTATTGCCACTACGACTTTAATAAGAACTATACGATAAAAAATAAAGTAAACTAAAAAGATTCAATATTAGCTGACTCTGAATCATTCGGATCGATACATATAATATATTTCAAACCTTATTGATATAACTCTAACTATAATTTTAAACTATACATGGTTTATATTATGACTGATTAGTGACTATGATTGCCAATGTAACCAATGTAAGAATGCTAGCAAGCAATTCAATTTGTCTGAGTATGAAAAAGTCAAAAAGCGACGAATAATGCTATGACTCGTGCAGAAAAAAAACATGGGCTCTGATTTATCGAGAGATGGCTCAGCGTACATTCAAAAGGATATCTTAATCCAGTGATTCATTTTTTATTCGGCATTTCATCCCAAAAAACGAAAAGGGTCAAGCTTCTTATAAATTGTTAAGCCAAACATACAACCACACATATACAAGAAGTAAAGATATGACTTACGAGTGATTCAATCAACCCCAGCTATTAACAAAACGAGAAACATAGCAATCAAAGAGCCATATTATATTGTCGAATGTAAATTTTTTACCAAAACTAGCCGGGAAAAAAAAAAAAAAACACTAACCATTCAATAAGGGCTGCAAAAGTAAGCTCGAAAAGGGTAATCATAGAGTAAAGAACCCAATAAGTAAGCCATTGTTGATCATCAACTGGAGACTTGGTCTCGATTGCCCTAATAGACGCGTATCTATCCGAAAAAGATCGTACAAAATTTTCGAAAATCAGTACACAAGAAAAATACTAAACTTGATGCAAAAATCAAAGTTAGAACAATCAATATACAGTTTTTTTTTTATATATATATAAAAAACCAAACAGAAATTAGCCACACTTACAGAGGATAACCCAGACTCACTGCAGGCCTGCAATAATATCAGAAAACATTAATTATAAAATAAACAAATAAAAACACATAACAAAAATTCATTAAAAATTTTCAAAAAATCAACCTCCTCTACAGAATCCCCAATTTGCAAAATACACACAGAATACGCACTCAATAAAGAAATAAAAATAAAAATCCGCACAATTGCAAATATATACTGAAAAAAAAAATCGAATTAACCGCGTTAAATCCATTACCAACCAGGAAAAATAGAAAAAATAAAAAAAAATGAATAAAAATTAAGAAGAGAGTGAAATTATACCCAGCGAGAAGATCGAAATTAGTGGCCACAAGTTTGAGGAAGCTCGCTAGACCAGATCCACCCATCTCCAACAAATTCAATTATTTATTTATTGTTTTTCGATTCAGAGGAATATATATATAAGTGGAAAATTGCGAGAAAAATCTGAGCAATTTTGTTTGAGTTTATGTGAAGGTGAGTTGATGAAAATGAGTAGAGAGAAGTAAAAAAGGAAGAATAATGGAGAAAAGTGTGAAGCGACGAAGAGGTGTGACAAAAGGGGAGGGAACAGGTGGTGTCCTACTGTCGTAGCTGAGTGCTGATTAAGCAAAGAATAAATTAATAAACACCACTATTTATTTATTTATTTGTGTTTTTATTTTTTATTATTATTATTATTTTTTATTTTTCATTTGTTGTTGAACAGGTTTTTTTTTTTTTTTTTTTTTTTTAATGTAAGAATGATTAGGACCGGTGTTGGGCTAAATACCTAACACGCAAAATACCTAACACGCAAGTGCACGTATCGCAAACAAGTAGTAAAGTAGACTCGTAAGAGTCGGATGTCGATCCCAAAGGGAATACTCAAATTATCTAATCATAAGTACCAAATTCTAACAAATATGATTTTTATCCAGCCTACGCAAAGTTGTCAAATCTAATCAACTAAATAATTAAACTAATTATGCAAGCAAATAAACATGAGAAAATATCAATAAAAAAGAACCTAGGATTTTATCTTCCCGCTTATGCAAGAATTGCTCACCCAAAACCCCTCAATTATGAAATATATGATTCCTGATTATTAACCCGAGACACTAATTTACTCATAAACTGTTGTCGCGTGTATTATGAGTCTATTATTCATAAACGGTTCACTATATGTCTATGCAAACCAATTATGAATAAAGCATTAACTAACAAGTCTCGTAAATGGCTACCTAAGGTGATACCAGTATGTCTACGACACCACATGCAATTGACACACTCATCCGGTCAAAACTACTCGAAGGTTCTTATACTTACCGTCTAATTATCAAAATAGCTCTGTCGAGTCAATCCCAATAATCACAGATAAATCACATAAATTGATCAGGTTCATGCACTAACAACCATAACAAGTAGAAGAAATAATCATAAAATCATAATTGAAAATATGACTATCCTTATTATGTGTACAACCGGGTACCCGGTTATTTCGGGTCGGGTTCGGGTTTTGCTATTTTCCTTTTTTTTTTTTTTCCTAATAATTATTTATTACTTCCAATTCGAAATGTGACATCAAACTTCATAAAATATCAAAAATATATTAAATGTTGCTTTACTTGATTACAAATACGAGAAGTAAAACATATTGTTATATACACATATTCATAAAAACAAAAGAATTACAAAATTTATTACACAAACACAATTAATCACAAAATAAAAAAAATAAAAAATAATAATATCAAACAAACAGTAACTAAATTTACATAAAATATACACATATATATATATATATATATATATATATATATATATATATATATATATATATATATATATATATATCTCTCTATCTATCATATATATATATATATATATATATATATATATATATATATATATATATATATAT